GGGTTATTTTCGCCCTTTAAAATACAATACAACAGATGTCTCCCTGTTTGCCTCTTATTGCTCCTTCATACATGAGGCACCTGCTAAGTCAAAGAGAAAAATCACTTTTTTGACACAACAGACAATTTAGCAGTTTATGTGATAAAACTATTTAACATAAAATTCCGAAAAAAGGTGAAATGTTCTGAATGAAAACTCTGTAATAACCGTTGAAAATTAATTATATTCCACTTAATATATTTCACTTATACAAAACAAAACACTTACACAAAACAAAACATCTTCAAATATAGATAACCATAATGTCTTAAGGGAAAAACGATAATGTCTTGAAGAACATTGTCGATTCTTGAAAATGTTAAAAGTATTCAGTTTGACGCTGGTGTTTTTTTAAGTTGCCTAAATTTTTATTGATTCTATGGCTATCACTTCCGAGCGATTAATTATTCCCAATTTCTCGCTCCTTTCTTTCTTTCAAGTGTAGTGTTTTACAAAGCATTTTTCAATTTCATAATTAACCACGGTGTAACAAAAGTTTTTCCCTCTTAATTATCGGCCCACAGGAATGACAGTTAGTTGAATATACTACTTATTTTTTCTCTCTCGAAAGACAGACAAGAGAGAGTTTCCTCATCATATTGTCAAACGAAAATGTTGCCGGCCGATGTCTTCCTTTTTGCTAAGGGAATTCAATTTTAGTGCTAATTTTAATAAACAGCTACAAAGAAAACACAAAAATATGGAATTACATCGACAGCAAACTTCACTACGGGTGGAACACAGACCAAAACAATTCTAGAGCTGCTATGCTCCCCCTCTTTGGATGGGCTTCAACAACTTGGATGGACAATTCCTTTCTCAGAAGTCAACATTAAAGGTAATGTATCCACGAGTTGTTCACAGTTTCCTTTGATTTTCCTACTGAGAGATGAACAACAGCCATGGGATTAGAGAGCTTACCATGTTCACAGTTTTCTCTAAAACTTTAAAAGGTCGAAGAGAAGGGTCTCTTCTGATCACCCTGGTATGAAGAATCTTTGGTGAGATTTCCATATTCTGTTTGTGAAATGAGTAAATACTGTTATGAGGATCGAATTATTTTTACTGAATCTGTCACGCAATCCCAGACTTTTCTAGAATTATCTATAATCTGCAATATTCCAGAGACTTCTTTCATGTGACTCAGCAGTTTCCGAATATAGTACAACTTGTAATACGCTATAAATAGTAAAACAACATTCTGGATAACTAAAGTAAACGTATAAAAGCTGGCTTGTGAGAAGTGCAAAAGGAGATTTGCCCGAGGGCTAACCTTCGTGGCTTGCTGACTGAAGTTGTGGAAGCTATGATGTGACAAGGCTATGACCTTTTGACCTTGTGATATCCGGAGAGAAGAAAGAGATGAAAAAGACGATAGTCGAGAGAGGAAGAAGATAGAGAATACAGAGTTTACTATGGAGTCCTCCGGAAGAGTTTGTGTACAAGGAAAGAATGCGATAAATCAAGAAAGCCAAGCGCTGTGGTCTTCAGTCGGCGGATGTTGGAATTGGAAGTTGATCAAGACGACGAACACTTACACGGCATGAAGGATTGTAAGCCTGCTTTATGAACTGCTTAACTTAATCTTTAACCTAAGTAAATTAGACAATGTAAAACTAATTAAATAATAGTTAAAATGGGTAACTGCTTGTTGTTACATTTTTGTTGCGTGCCATATATCGTACTCGGGAGTCTATTTTCATATATGCTTTGTTAGCGGACATTTGTTGGTCATTCGTGCACGTAACAATACATCTTGAAACTTGAAGCAAGAGAGAATTCCGTGTGCTTTATTTGCCATATTTACACCTTTGATCGCTGTACAGACAAATTGTGACTTTAAAGAGTACATATGTCATTATAGCTCTGGTTTGGGTTCAATCCAGTGTCGCTTTTATGCTACAATTTAGATTACCGTGTAACTGTTTGGTGTCGGTATATATATAAGTATACCATTTCTATCGCCTCGAACAGAAATATTTTCCTCGCTCTAAGTCGTCATTAGGCTCAAGTACAAGATCGTGTTCAGCAACAGCCGAGCCAAACAAATGCTCTGAACATGGCGCGATATAGAAAGGCAGTGTACAGTGCACTGTGGGTGCAGTTAGCATTAGTTTTATGGTGGATATTGTGCTCACCTACGCTAACACATCTTCAGAGTCCCAAATTATTAGCAAAGGAACTGCTTCTTTACTAATTACCTGGGCTGCCTATTGAAAAGAATAACGATTTTTAATTATTGCCGTACATCTAGAAAGATACATTTTCGGTATGAAATCTTGCAATTTAGACAGACGAGTAATGTACTGACCGAGGGGAAATGATTCCGTAAGCTTTGCATTTAAATCAATTGGTTTAAGGTCAATTCGCCACCTCAACAAACTTCCCACCACAAAACTCGCCACCACTCGAAGTCAAATCGCCACCAGTGGCGATTTGACTCAAACCTTACGTATAACTTCTCGTGTGAAACTTTCATCAAATAAAAGCTAAGATGTAGAAGTACATTGCGGAAAGGGAAAGGGATTCTGAAGTTAGGTGTAGCGTCTCAATAATGGAACGTCAAACGAAATAAAACATGTTGATATCACAAAGATGATGATCAGTTTACGAACAGTGACACCAGAGTGTTACTCACCGAGTGATTTTCGCTAAGTGAATTACGCCGATATAAATGAAATCATCTGAAACTTACATCATAAAAATGCTAAAAGGTCGAATTGACGAATTGACCTGATACCGTAAAGTAGTATATGTGAGTTTTTTTACTTTTTTACGTTTGAACAATAATGAGAAATACTGGGTTTTTTTGTAAATAAAAAAATTGCCTTTTCTTTTATCGCAGCATTTTTTATAAACCACTGATTTTTATTCTTAGGATTTGGGAATAACTAATTATTTTAGTAGTCTTTTTAGTAGTCTATATTTCCTCACAAGATAAAAAATACATATCTTATGTTACAATATTTGAGTAAAAAGTATATTATTACTCAATTACTCATTGTGAAACAAAAAGACCTTCAAATAAATGAATGATAATGACTTTCTTTTGTTAATGTGTTTCAAAGATAAAATGGCTGTAGTAAGTCGTGTAAACGTTCTTAGTTGTTCGAACGCAAAAACTTCTTGTTTATGTAATCAATAAGTACTCCGAGATGCAAACCATCACCAACATTTTTATTACAAATCTTGCATCGACTGAAATAGTTATAGCGACTCTTAATAGAGTGCCGAAGTGTGACGTCATGTTACCATGGTAGCATTTTTGCTGGATCTAAACACTATTTGGCGTCTTTCGTTACATCTCATCATAAAATGGGCCAATGCTTCGTTCCCGACTGCAATCATCAGTCAGAAAGTCACAATTGCAGCTTTTACCGTTTCCCCAAAGATCCTGCTCAAAGAAGAAAATGGATTTCTCTAATAAGGTAGGTTGATTTTTGGTACAATGACCACCATGATGCACGGCCACGTGTCGGTTATAGTTACGCGGAAGATGGTTTTATTTAACCACTCAAAAGTGCACTGACCTGTGGATTATACCTTTGAAAGACCTCTAGAGAGAAAAAAAGCTTTTTTTTACGTTATGATTAAAGTTTAAAACCTTCGTTTTCTCTCTCCAGACGAGCTGATCGTGAACCTGGCAAAGGCGCTCGAGTTTGTAGTTGTCATTTCCGAGGAAGTAAAGAAGAAGGCCCCGAGGTCTTTTCCTGGAATAAAGACAAACTATTTGAATCTCGAAATGCTCCAAAAAGGAAAAAGCAAAGAACTGAAGTCCCAGAGACAACGACTATCGAGCAGATCCTTTCAGAATCTTCGACGAAGAGCAACCAGAACGAGCCTTGCGAGCTCAGTTGCGAGGAGATGCAAATGAAATGCACTACTTTGCAGACTGAAAATATCCTGCTACAAGCAGAGCTAGGGACATTAAAGACCCAAGTATCCGAGTTGAAAGAAAAAGAAAGCTACTTAAAAAGAAACTACAGCTCTTTTAACATGGATTCAAAGGTAATCAACATGGAAACTGGCCTCCCAAACAAAGAAATGTTCCACATTGTTGTCGAATATGCCGAAAGATACCGCAACGATATTGTTTACGTGTGTGGCTGGAAAGTAGACAAGATATCTTTTGAAGATCAAATATTGATAACATTGATGAAGATTAGACATAATTATCATAACTTACATTTAGCTGAACTTTTTAGTTGCAGTACTGCTACAATAGCGAATATTGTGACAACATTTATCCATGTTTTGCACCAAATTCTATATGAAGATCAAATGGAGATAGCTGTTCCATCCAGACAAAAAAACAAAACTTCACTTCCAGGCTCATTTAGCTTATTTGGAGACTGTCGTATGGTAATAGATTGCACCGATATCGAGGTTGCTACACCTAAGCTTATGAGTGACCAAAAATTGACATATTCAACGTACAGGGGTATGAATTCTTTTAAGACAATTGTTGGTGTGGCACCCAACGCGGTTATAACTTATGTAAGTAAACTTTTCCCTGGCTCAGTATCAGATAAAGTAACGGTTCAAAAGTCAGGAATATTAAAGCATTTTGTTGCTGGGGATATTATACTTGCGGATAAAGGGTTTTTGATAAATGATATTGTTCCTAATGGTGTATATGTGAACATTCCCCCATTCTTGAACAATGGAAAATTTACAGAAAGTGAAGTTAAGTTAACAAAGAGCATTGCAAAATGTCGTATACACGTAGAACGTGCTAATGCTAGATTGAAGAACTATAAAATTTTAAATTTTGTGCCACCATACTTGCGATCCCTCTCTGGTAAGATTATACAGCTATGTGGTGCTTTAGTTAATTTACACCCTTCAGTTACTGCATATTTGTTGTAAAAGTTGCAATGATTTTACCAAATAAAACAATATTTTAAAAAATATTTCTAAAAGTATGTATTATCAAATCCATTACTTTATAAAAAACTACATTAATTTTACAACAAAGTCTTAAAATTTAAAGACCACCATCAACAAGTGCAGGAATCATGTGAATTGTATAAAATTCTTGAAGTGAAAGAAGATTTGGTTCCCATGTGCAGTCTTTCTGGATTGCCAACACAACAGTTTGCATTGTTGTCCAAACCACAAAGTAACAGATTTGCTTCCCAGTTATAAACAGCTGACCCTGGACTTGATGCCAGTAGTGGTGGGATTGTTTTAAACAATAGCCAGCATCTCTCTTTACTAAACAGAACTTAGGGTCTTTAACAGCCTCCTCAATTGTTGAATTGCGATGTGTGTAAGGGCATTTGACTTCAATGATCGCATTGTCATCAACAAGTCCATCTGGTGATGCACCCAAAACACCAGACTTGTGTAGCCAAAGGCCACAATCCTTTACTACTTTCATTGTTAATTTGGTGAAGGCCTTTATTCCTTCTTTCTCGTTAACGACACCCCATCGAACAGCCTGCACTCGAGAGATGTCGTATTCTCCAAGAACACGCTTGATAAGGGAAGGAGTGACTCTTTTTGCTTCAAGAACTGGACCAAAATTGCTAGCAGTCAAACGTCCTTTTCTCACCACATGCCACTCTCCACATTCACGTTGCTCTTTCGTGATCTCACAGACTGATTTCACTTGCTGCTCACTTACTTTCAATTTTTCCAACAAGAAATTTGTATCAAGTCCGCTTTCAACAAACTCTCTCGATAAAATGATTTCTTCGACTGTGGAGATCGGCAGACGATTCTCTTTGTCAGGTTCGGGGCTCAAAAGCCATAACATTCCTGTGAACTCGCCGTATCTCTTCAGCTTGTTCCGTAGCCATTCTCTGTCCTCATCTGTAGTTTTTCGTTTTAGGACTTTAGTTTCTTTGGGTGGATACAGATCTTCTACCGTTTTAACCACCTCGGATGCCTTTTGTTTCTTCCACTGACATTCGATGTCAGTTCTACTTAAGTTGTGGTAGCCATGAAGGAACAGAGCTACAGCGTGACTACACTTTGAACCGCCACGAGGGCACTCGCATTCTGTGGAACGTATTTCGTTTTCTTGAAGATATATCTGCGAAGGAAAGAGAAAAAGAAATATAAGCTTACTTTTCAAGATTTCCTTTAAACGAAGATTCGAAATCACTTAATTTAAATAAGTTTTGGTTTGGCGATGTTAACGGATAGACATCGAGTAATAGAAATTTTACACTTACTGTGACTTTATACGTCGTACTTTTCATGCTCGCTTGCACTGACCCTCTGATAATTCCATCACAATAGCAAAAAGATAGAACGTGTCCAGATTGGTAATGGTTTTCGCCACGGTTTAAAGATTTAGGCTCATCTGAGAAGTATTTTGCGAACGATGTTATCGACAACGCCGCCATGTTAAACACATGTGAGTTTGTTTAGATCCAGCAGAAATGCAACCATGGAAACGTGACGTCAGGGCTTCGGTACTCTATATGCTATTATGGGCAGCAAGCTTGTGCACGGAAAGGTTGAATTTTAGCAAGGGATGATGTGAACTTCTGCAACAGTGTAACAAACAATAGGTTTGGGCTCCACACTGTTCATCCTTAGTAAAAGAGTTGCTTGGTTGAACTTTGTTCTCGTCTGGCTGGTCTTTCGTCCTTTTCGTCGCACCTTCATTGCACAAGCTCGAGTCAGTAACTATTCCAATTCTGTCAGTCTCACGTGCTAGACCATAAATGACGTTCTATCATGTGGTCTTCTCGTATTCATTGACGAGTGTTACAGAGCCCTGAGGCCAATGTAACTGCCAAAGAAAATGTTACAGCTATTGGTAAACAGGAAAATACAACATTTATAACATTCTCCAGGAATGAAAAAGTTCTGTTATTTTCAAATTAGAAGTCAGTGAGTTGTCCGCAATGATTTTTTCTTACGCGAAAAGTCTAGTTTTCAAAGTAGTAGAACTTTCATTGCATCAAAAATTATTGAAATCCTGCAATTAATATATGTTTTCATACAATATATTCAATTGAGTTCAATTAAGTTCACACTTACAAAGATAATTATACACCTTGTTGGAAAAGCGATGAAAAAGGAATTACGGATGTTTTCGCACTCCAGATCTCTCTAGTACGTAGCTTCGCCGTCAAGAAAACAAAAAAACGCACCAGCGTTAGTTACTCTGGCTTCCGTAGGAAAGCCCGAGTCTGAAAATGCAAGCCGGTTTGGTCACCAAAATGGGGGTCATGGTCCCAGGCGTTCCTTGCGTAAACCGCGGAAACTGGGGATGAGAGCGCGACAACTTGAGTTATCGTGAGCTCGCTCTTCGTAAACAACATAATTTACAGAATGCTGTGTTTTGTGAAGAACGCTATGCAAAGATCCCTGTCTCGTAAGCTCATCCCATATGCAAACGCGCACGCCGTTCGAGGTAGTCGTGGTAGGTCCAAGCTAAATGATGTCGAATGTTTTCGGCATGGGCCGGTCCAAGAACTTCATTGCTTGAAAGCTAGCCAAATGTGGAAAGTTCATACTAGTTTTCACCAGATAACAAATGAGCCATATGTGAGCTCAAACTACAAAAATACTGGCAAAACTGTGACGGCCGATTTAAAACAAACCATAATGCTGAGACGAACGCCTCACTTGCTGAAAAATTCAAGAATGTTCGTGAACACAACTTCGAAGTTGGCGCTAACAACAGCGACTTGGATAAGAATACTGACAGAATCAACTTAAATAGTATGGTTAAATATATAAGCTTAGATCTTCCGTTAAATATCCTGTTTCTGTCACTGGTTTGTATTGGGTTGTAAAGTACGATTCGGTATTTCGTACATAATCACTATTAACAATTGTTTCATGCATTAGTGTGCGTTCATCGAGACTTGAAGCCCTCGGGAAGTTTGGAGAGCACGAAGGATGCCTAAGAGTTGCTCGAGGCGCAACCTAGGACAACTCCAGCTTCTTGAGTGCTCTCCAAACTTCCCAAGTGCTTCAAGTCTTGATGAATGCACAGCTGACACATAAACCAGTTGTTTTATAACATTTTAGACACTGTAGTTCATGTATAAAGATCAGAAATTCCCTCTCCCACGCTTCAATGCATTGTTTATTTTGTTTCGGAAAAGTGTTTCGCTATGCTTTAATGACCTTGTCTCAGACTGGTAAAAAACTGACAGGTGAATCCATGCGTTGAAATGAAGTTAGAGTTGCGAAATGAGATGAAACCACAGGTTGTTTTGCTTTCCTTTTCTCTGGGTTCTTTCTCGGGAGTTAAAAAATCCATTCCCAAAGAAAAAGTAGGCAGATCTTCATCGGTTTGTTCGCTTGTTGCGCCATGTCTAGTTTAACTTTTTTGGGGAAGTTTTTCCCGTTTTTTTTTGTTTTTTGTTTTTTTTGTTTTATGAAAAATGCTGAAGTCACTCGAGAGAAATTTTTTTTTTTCGCGAAGCATTTGTTTGCTGACCTCGCCAGCGTGCACAATGGAAAATTGAAGTACACTCGCGCAATTGAATTTGATCGCACCAATTTACAAATTATGTTATAATTGTACTCGTGTTTGGTGTGGATGCCAAGGCTATAAAAGAAGCCAGAGTGAACGCTCCTCGAGCGTCTAGTTATTTTAGAACTGCTGAAATTACACCAAATCTTCATACGCTTTTTGTTTCTCGCTTTTTGTCCATATTTTGAAGACAATAATTAAGGCAGCGGACAATGCAAAACGTCGAGCGCTAACTATACGGAACGCAAATGGATGTTTTTTTTTTCATTATTTCCTTCCTAGGCGTTAGAGAAAACTGTTTGTGAATTATTTTGACCCCATAGCTCAAATTATTATTATTATTATTGTCGCAGAGATTAATATTATTAATTAATGTTATTAATATTATTTATTGCTTATTATTATTTATTACTATTATTATTTATTATTTATTATCAATATTATCATTATTATAATTATTATTATTATTATGCAGCAGTTTACAACTTTTGTATGCTATATACAGTAAGAATAGTATGACGGGGGCGCATGAGCGTAGCCCGTTAACTATAGTGAAATAAAAATCTTGTTATTATTATTATTATTATTATTATTATTATTATTAGTATTAATGTTATTATTACTAAGCTGGAAATATTTTGAAAAAAAGTTCAATGTTTCAAGAGAATCTTGGCTGTTAAGCTACTTTAGTAACGAAGTGTTGTGCTGCTACCAAAGCTATGTGTTTGTTTAGTCAACCACTTTATAGATATAGGCTAATCTAGCGTTTGCACTTTTTTAACAATCATCATTAATGTGGTGTGGTACACTCTCCTTGAAGGAGAAATTGTTGAATAAGAATTTTTACAGGACTAAACCAACTGTACCTGCCCTCCTAATCTAATTACATCCATCAAATTTCTCTTTATTACTATGTTGATGCACATACAAGCGGGAGCTTTTTTTAAGTTGTAGAAATGAAATCGAAGCTAAAATCGAAACTTGCTTGAAAAAAGCGATGAAAGCAAATTATTCCTAGTTTTGTATAATATAGTATCTGCAAACGTTACCGTAACAAGACTGCGACTTAATACTTTTAATGCAAAACTTTCACGAACTCGCAATGCAAAGAAGCCTCTTTATTCACACGCGCAGATCAACTCACTGAGCGCAAATTACCTAAAATTCTTCAAATTTCATAAATGCTGAATTGGTAAGTCGTGAAAATTTAATTCAAGGAGCAAGATGCACGCAAAATATATTATGGTCTGAATATTAGCAACAGATCCCTGAGCTCCTATTGTCGGTTAAACGATTATACTATTCGAAATTCTCCCCTCCAGCTGTATTGATTTATTTTGAATTAGCCAAGGGAGCTTTGATTTATAAATTTTAATTAGGTTTTTATAGCCTTGTGACCTTTTGGCGGGATAATACATTGATGTTGAAGGCGAAACTATATATCATTCACATTTAAATGTGAAAGAGTCAGTGAGATTGTTACTATGCCATTATTCTAAATTCACTGCTCTTCGGTTGTACAGGAGCAATTTTCTTATCCATGGTGAATGGGTTTCGTTGCTGCTGGGATGTATGATGACCGCTACACGACTCTGATCTAAATTGAATGATCGTGCATGACTCTGATCTGAATTATCGTTACCATAAGAACCACGTCTGAAAACTTTTAGAAGACATTTTTAAACTGCGGATCCATACTCCCATAGACGATTGGATTTAGCAGACTGTCAGAGTAAACGAAATACGGAGCTGCCTTAGACGCTTCACGGGGAACGTAATCTCCAGCAGCTGTTAAAATTGTGGTTATGCTTGGAAAAGCCCATGTGAATAAAAAGACACAAACCACCATGAAACAACTCTTCAAGATTTTAATGTCGGTATGACGAAGCGTTGGAGCACCGACACCATTTTGTGCGACATTGGCGTTGACATTATCTGTGCTTTCTTTCACCTTTTCGTAAATTTTCAAATAGAAGCAAAATATCACAGATGTTAACACGTTACAAAACCCTCCCATGATTACTAGGAGGTAAGAAAAGTGTCCTTCCTTCCAGATCAAGGTGCAAACAAAGTAATCTGAGTCGAACTTTAGTTTTCCCCATCCGTACAATGGAGGTGTGGCCAATAGGACCGAAACCAGCCAGACAACAATACAGTACAACCAAGCGACTCTTTTGCAGGGGAAGAACTTACTGTACAATGCTAGCTTGACGACTTTTATATATCTGTTCAGGGCAATCAAGCCCATATTTAACACGGAGGCAAAAGACATAGTAACCGGCACTATTGCGGTAACATCACACCATTCCTGGCTCAAATTTCATGTTCCCGTGTACAAGCTTGCTGCCCAGAGCGGCATAGTAAGGGTCGTCATGAGGATATCAGTCATCGCAAGATTGTGAATGAAAATGTTGGTGATGGTTTGCATCTCGGAGTATTTGGTAATAACATTAAACAACTAGCACATTACCAAGTAAGGCAGCGAGGCAAAGCAGAATGGCAAAGGTTACCTCCAAAGTGATTTTTGCTCTCGAGCGAATGAGGCCGGGATCCTGGGAAGTTGTTTCAGACATCCTGGACTGTTGTTTGAGTTGCAGTAAACATGAAAAATATAGCCAAACGAGAATTTGACTTCAATTAAAATATTATGTGGTTAATCCGATGAAAGCTTTAAAGAAATTTGGATTGGAAGTTAAAAAACCTTGAAAATTTCGGCGAGACAAATGTTATCTTTACCCTCGTCACTTTTAAAACCCTCTTGATTGAATAATTAAAGCCCTTGGCTTGTTGCAATGCTCAACCTTCGGCCTCTGGGGAAAAAAACTCGACGGGTATTTTTTTTTTCGCAATTGAGCCAGCACTCTTCCACGCTTTTCCCAATAAAAAACTTACAATCTTAAGGCTAATGGCGCATATGGATTAATTCTATAGTCTCACTATCGTATCTTTGATAAACGTATTACAAAGTTAAAGGTAGAACGCCGCTCAAATGTTATAAAATACTCACGATTTCTTCGTTCAGTAAATCCCTGAAACTCAGGTTAAAAACTGGTGAAGACCTTTTAAGTTTGTGGTAGCTTTACGTATACTGAAACCGTAATCGTGAAACTTTCGCTGAAAAAGGAAGCGATTCCTTAAATTTCCTTTTCAAATTTGAATAAGGCTTTATTGCATTTCAAGCAAATAAACACAAGAAAGCCATTATATATCACTGATTTAATTGATTCTTTTGTCGTAATCCTCTATTGGTTATTCTCTGATCCGTTGGGTAAAATCAATGATTGAAAAGAGGAAAAGAAAAATGAAAAGTTGCTTTTGTATCGAATGGAAGGCGGCAGAAATAAAAAAAAACATATTTTTTTATCGTTTGCCGTTTGCCCGAGCCACCTATTTCAAAACATTGTTGACCTCTGGTCGTTGTCATATCTCCTTCCTTGTCTCAGTGACTTTGAATAGAAAATTTAATTACGGAATAATTTCCTTTCTCTTGTTATACTAACTGTCTGTCTAAAGTGGTAAAGCTTTCAAGAGTTGACAGTGAAAATCTATTACTCTTAATGACTGGTAGCAGTTAAACCTCATTACTTACTTCATTAAGCGACCAGTCTATGTTACTTATCGTTGGTTAGTTTATTTGATTACTTTAGTTCTGCTTTTATGACAGTCAATCTCAAAGTGCCCCAAACTCATTCAATATTTGGCAAAGAACTCGTTCTCCGAACGAATTCTCTAATGATAAATTCAGTGCGAAAGAACAGAAGTCGATATCATTTACATGTACAGTTACCTTTAATTGAAGAGAAAGGTCTTAATCGAGCTAAAATTAAAAAAAATACAGGGGGAGTTCTGTCTTGGTTGTTAACTCGACATGAGATTAACCCAAAACGAGACAAGTGAGGATCGAAAGAAGTTAGGCGAAGAGTACCACAACGCAGTGCTCCTTTTTCATTATTTATATCTGTACCGGCATCTACCATTAAATGGTCAACTCTACACCTCCAGTACGGATCTGGTATTTCGCGCAGGGCGTATCTCGCCGTGATTAGGTAAACTTAGCAAACGCCTTCTATGAGAACAACGGAATGATAGCCAAGCCTAGCAAACATCAAATGACTAGAGTAGGAACCACTGACCATCTGTTTATGATCTCCGAGAATGGCTCAATGGATCACTTTGACCTTACGATCTATAAGGATCTTACATTTAAGCTGCATTGTGTCCTCTATATATATATAAAAAAGGATCCAATAAATTTAACGTTGTGTCGACCTTTGGCAAACTGATAACTACTGAAACCATGCCACGTCTTTACAAGGCATTTATTCTTTCCCGCTTCCAGTATTGTTCTATGTTCTCTGGTAAAAAGGAAATATTCTGATAAACTGGACCTTTTAACAAGCGACCTCTTCGATATATTTTTAACTCTGGCTAAGATAAGTTGTCAGGACATAATCACGTAAAGCGCACGCTCTGATTGGCCAATTCAGAGTCCACTATTTTCCCATAGGAAACGCTGCTGACATGAGAAAATGCTTACAAGTAAGAAGATGTTTTAACTCTGGCTAGAATAATTTATTTTAAATATCAGAACTACAAAACTGAGGAATAAGCGTGTGCAAAACGTGATTCTTACTATTTAATGTTTTCAATTCCTGATTTTGCAAGATGTTTAAAAGATATGTTTCACTTATGCTCTAGCATCTAAAATCCATGGCAGTTTATCAATTTTCTTGTACAAGATGTAATTACCGTTATTGGCGAAACTATTCGCCACTTCTCTACTAGGATAAAGGAGCACACGGAAAGCGATAAAAACGCGCATATTTTTAAGCATTTCAACACATCTCCTTCTTTTAATAGCAAATACTTCCCTTCTTACTTTAGTAATCTGGATTCTGCTAACAACTCAATTGATTTAGAACTCAAAGAAGCTTTTTATGTTAATAGCATCAAACCTGAACTTAACAAACAATTACAGCAATAAAACACTCTTCTAGCGTTTTAGTTCACACCTTTGATGTTTGGTGTCACATTGTAATTACTACCCGCTTTTGCATTACATCATACTGTAAATATTTTATTCATCTACTTGTCTGTTATATAATTACTCACGTTATGTTACTCATTGAGTGAAGATGGCATAATCATGTCGAAACATGTCTCTCAAAAAGTTATCTTTTTCTTACAATATTAAAGTTCACCTAAACCCCCAAAATCTTTTTCGCTTAACGAAATAAACGTATTTTTTGGAGTATTTCTGTGCAAAAATTTTAGTATTTGCTCAAATCTTCAACTTTGTGTGCCCGATCAAAATACAGAAAATCGGCCGCCATCTTGCCCCACGACCGAGTTTAAAGAAGAATGGCTCTAGCGGGTAATGTGACGTCAAATCGAGAACACGAAAGTCTGCATCTCACACATTTTCACTTGTTTGGGAAGATTGTCGTCGATATTGTCCGAAATATGCCGACTAGGTGTGTTGTATGAAGAATGTATGAAGCGCGATACCCTCTTGCAAATTTCGCACGTTGCTACATCCTTCTACAACACACTTAGTCGGCATATTTTCGGACAATTATCGACTACAACCTTCCCAAACAAGTGAAAATGTGTGAAATGCAGACTTTCGTGTTCTCGATTTGACGTCACATTACCCACTAGAGCCATTCCTCTTTAAACTCGGTCGTGGGGCAAGATGGCGGCCGATTTTCCGTATTTTGACTGAGCACAGAAAATTAAAGATTTGAGCAAATTAAAAAAAAAAATTGCACAGAAATACTCCAAAAAAAGAGCTTATTTCGTTAAGCGAAAAAAAAATTTTGGGTTTAGGTGCACTTTAAATAAATGTAGTTAGCTCGAAGATTTCCCGCTAAAAGAATTCCTATAGACGTATCTTAAAATCAAATTCCTCAGTGTCCACTCATATTTTATAAAATCCTTACATTCGTCCTTACTCAGTCATATATCAGAAATATCAATTCAACCTCAGGTTGAAACTTGGTCAAAACCGTGCTTATTCTAATTCTATACGTCCACAATCTTGAACCTATTGCAGGAAAAGGAAAGATTGCTAACATCTTGTGAAAGAGTCCTACAAGTACGATTACCAATATCGCAGGAACACAATAACACAAGAAAGCCATTATCCTCAACTTGTTTAATCGTTTCATTTTGATGATGATTTCCCAATTTTTTCCAGGTCTGCACAATGAGTTTAGTAATTGACGGTGAAAGGCAAAAAGGAAAACCAAAACAACCTTTTTCAAAGTGAATAAAGCAGCAGAATCTTTCCTTCTGCTGTGTTAACATCAAAAAGCATGTAGAAGGCAAAAACCTTTTCTAAGATTTTATTTTTAATTTTTGCTGTTCGAAAAGCAACATTTAATAAACATAATGTTTCAAGATAGTCGTTATACAGTCTCCTTTGTCGTCCCGATGAAATAAATCAACTTTAAACAATAACCTGAGAAATCATTTCCCCTCTTTCATTACTTTAATTGTCTATTTATTGCGAGAAAGTCTTTGAAGGCCCGTTTAAACGGCTTCAACACTGGTTTCAACACTTGCTTGAACTAAATGCTCGGTGCATATGAAAAGGTCGTCCAACATTGTTGAAAACCTAAAAAAAAATTGTTGAAGGCTTGTTGAAAGCGCGTTGGTTCAAATTTAAATTGGTTTTAACTTTCATTCAACATCGATTCTACTTTTCTTTTGTAAGGCCTTTTAAAGGCCTTTGAAAGGCCTCCGCACAACTTTGCTTTTGCGCCCAACATTTGCCTAACATCCGTTCAACTTTTGTTAAACGAGTGTTGATCAAATGGTGAAACCTATTTTCAAGTAAAAGGACCTTAAGAGTTTATCCGTTGGCAGGAAACTTCGTCGTTTATTTTGTAAAGTGATTAGGGTTTTGGTTTTTCGAAACTCAATCGCAAGTGCTCTAGACTCATTCTAGGTTCATTCTCTGAAATTTATGCTGTCTCTGATGAACCAATGGGTACAGTCTTCTCGTTCAGCTTGGTAATCTCCTCGGACTAACGTCACTGGAGTAAGCGATCTCCATTTTCTTTAATTTTTGGTGAGTTGCAATTTCAGGGGAAATTAAAAAGTGACAGTGTGAATTACTTTAAATACACTTCGGTGCATGCGACACCAAAAAAACCTTGTGAGGTAAAATTTGTAAGTACTTACCAAAGCGTTTTATTGTCAAGAAACAGAAAATTAAGACTCAAAGCGAAATCAAATAATGTTCGAGCATGAAAGATATTCCCTGAAAAAAAAAGGAAAGTTGTGGAGAATGGTTGTAATAAAATCCTTGTTTGAAAGTTTCACTCTGTGATAGTAGTTTAGCACGAATCATACAAATATCCCTTTTGTTGCTACTGGGTTTCACATTTAGCACTACTGGTGACATATTTATTCACTCAATGTTTAAGAGCGTTCAATGGGGCTTTTCCTGGTTTCCGTTTGTTTGTTTGTTTTTACTTCAGAATGCGCAGAAATCTGTTGAAATATTTAAAATATCCGTTTCTCGTCTTCTCTGGAGTGACCAATGGAAACTTCAGGGAGAAATACAGCGTCCCTCCATCGTCAGAGGATTTAGGATTCAGGATTTGTTAATTTCATTGCTCTTTGGTTTTACAGTAGTAATTTTCTTGTTGATGGTCAACGAGTTTCATTGCTCCTAGGATGTACAATAATCGCTACAACTCTTGCATGCCTCTGATCTGAATTATCGTTGCCATATGAACCACATTTGAATACCTTTTTGAAGGCATCTTTAAACAGTGGATTCATAATCCCATAGATGATTGGATTTACCAGACTACCGGAGAAAATAAAATACGGAGCTGCCTTATGTACTTCGGTAGGCAAGTAATCTCCACCAGTGGTTAAAAAAGCGGCTGCGCATGGAGGAGCCCACGTAAGTGAAAAGAAACACACCACTGTGAAGCAACTCTTCAGGACCTTAATGTCGGTATGACGAAGCGTAGGAGCACCGACGCCATTTTGTGTGGCATTAGCGTTGACATTACCTGTGCTTTCTTTCACTTTTCTGTAAATTTTCCAATAGCAGAAGAAAATCACAGATGTTAACACGTTAAAGGAACCTCCCATGACTACTAGGACGTAAGAAAAATGTCCCTCCTTCCAGTTGAAGTTGCAGAGAAAGGAATCTGAGTCGAACTTCAATTTTCCCCATCCATACAACGGAGGTGTGGCGATAATGGCAGAAAATACCCAGACAAGACCACAGTAAAACCAAGCAACTCTTTTGCTAGGGAAGAACTTGATATACAAGGCTCGCTTGACGACTTTTATGTATCTGTTCAGGGCAATCAAGCCCATATTTAACATGGAGGCTGCACCCATAATAAATTGTATTGTTGCAGTGACATCACACCATTCCTGGCTAAAATTCCATGTTCCCGTGTACAAGTTTGCTGTCCAGAGCGGCATAATAAGGGTTGCCATGAAGATATCAGCCAGTGCAAGATTGTGAATGAAAATGTTGGTGATGGTTTGCATCTCGGAGTATTTTGTAATAACATAAATAACCAGCACATTACCAAGTAACGCAGCGAGGCAAAGCAGAATGGCAAAGGTTACCTCCAAAGAGCGACTGAGGCTGGGGTTTTGAGAAGTTGTTTCAGACATCCTGGACTGTTGTTTGAGTTCCAGTAGACATGAAAAATATGGGCAAACGGCAATTTGAGTTCAATTAAAGATTATGTGATTAATCTGATAGAAACTTTGATGAAATTTGGGATGGAATGGATCAAGGATAATAAAAGAACCCTGGCTTTACCTACACTTACATCGTAAATGTGAAGCTTTCGCTGAAAAAGGGAGTGATTCCTAAGATCTCCTTTCAAAAATGAATAAAGGCTGTTAGTTTCGATAGAAACTGTTTGGGGCTGCGTCGGTGGGGGTAACGAAATAATTTGGATATATCAACAAAGTTGCAATGGTAAATTTGCCACCGTAACGATTGCAAAAGCTGACGTTTCGAGCGTTAGCCCTTCGACGCTTAGACGAAGGGCTAACGCTCGAAACGTCAGCTTTTGTAATCGTTACGGTGGCCAATTTACCATTTAAACTTTGTTGATATATCCAAATTATTTCCTTTTAAAAGCCGATTTGAATACGGCTTTATTCAATTGAAAGCGAATTAACACAGAGAGCCATTATCCAGCACTGATTTAAGTCATCATTTGATAGTTAAACTCTAGTTAGGTGAATGGATGAATGGAGGGAAAGCAAACTGAAAATGATTTTTGTATATATGGTAAATGAGAGTCTGCATTTCCAAACTGCTGAAAGCCGGAAGAAGTAGAAAGAAAACATCTTTTTTATCGCTTGTCATTTAATTTTCCCGAGCCGCCTAATTCAAGTCCTTGCTGCAATCTGGTCGTTGCTATATCTCCTACAATGCCTTAGTCAAATAAATCACTTTGAATTGAAACCTTACGGAATCATTTCCTCTCTGTCTTTACACTAGCTGTCTGTCTAAAGTGAAAAAGCTTTCAAGAGTTTACATCGAAAATTTATTGCTCTTGATGACCGGTGGCAGTTAAACCTCATTACTTATTTTACAAAGGTATCATACAAGGAAAATCAGCGTTTTATTCAAACTGAGTGGGGATAGCTTATAAAATTATGCACACCATCTCCGTAAAAGTATAAATTCTATTAAGGCACAGTAAACACTAATTTCGTATATTTAAAAAGAAGAAGAATGATTTATAACACATTAATAGCAGCATGGACTAAATTGCTAAGGTTTACAGTGTATAGAAGGGGAGATTTTATAAACATAATAACAATATTACCTACATGCTTGCAATAAGAATCCCAGGACTACGACTACAATAAGAATCCTACGACTACGTCTACAAATATAAAATCTTAGAAATTGGTGCAGTTGAATTGCTAAAAAATAACTGCACATTTGTTAATAAAAGTGTCTTACATGGCTTTAAATGGTATGGTCTAGCGTTCCTGAGGTCTTTAGTTGGTCTCTCGTTGAAAGGAATAAGAGGGTGCAGAACATCAAGGGGGTTATTTACAATTTTGTTAAAAAATTTTTTTTACATAGTTCGTCCTTCTTTGCTCTAACGTAACGAGGCCTGAACGTACCAGGGCATCTGGGTAATTCACTTCGTAACCGAAAATTATCCTAAGAGCACGTTTCTGTATTCGTTGAAAACTTTAGGTTAGATATTGTGGAAGACTAAAATGAAAAACCTGGTAGCCATAAAATAACACAAATTGGATGCAAGCAACATAGAACTGAACTAGTTCTTCAGGTGGAACTTTGACACGCCTTTAGTTGCGCTAAAAAAATACAGGCGTTTGGCAGCTTTTTTTGTCATTTCTCTTACGTGAGATTTCCACTTAAGGTCTTCTTGAATATAAACGCCCAATAACTTAACTACTTGTACTGTATGAATTTTACAACCGGCGATTTCCACAAGTTCATATTTTGTCTGAGAGCGTGCACAGGTTATCCTAAGTTCATTACATTTACTGGGTGAAGTTGGAACTTTTTGTTAGCAAACCATGTAGATGCCTCATCGAGGATGGACTGTGCATGACTAGACTCTTTTTTCTCCAGTATCTCGTAGACTGTAATATCGTCCACGTACTTAAAAACGCCGTTCGAAGTATCTGCACTAAGATAGTTGAGCATAACGAGGAACAGCCAGGGGTCCAGTTTGGTACCCTGAGGAACCCCTGCATGAACTGAACGCCATTCGGAAAAGCTGTCATTCCCTAGTTTGACCCTTTGCTGCCTTTTGGAGAAGAAGGCTNCGAACGTTAGCCCTTCGTCGGAGCGAAGGAGTTACACAGGAGATCTAGACGAAGGGCTAACGCTCGAAACGTCAGCTTTTGTAATCGTTACGGTGGCCAATTTACCATTTAAACTTTGTTGATATATCCAAATTATTTCCTTTTAAAAGCCGATTTGAATACGGCTTTATTCAATTGAAAGCGAATTAACACAGAGAGCCATTATCCAGCACTGATTTAAGTCATCATTTGATAGTTAAACTCTAGTTAGGTGAATGGATGAATGGAGGGAAAGCAAACTGAAAATGATTTTTGTATATATGGTAAATGAGAGTCTGCATTTCCAAACTGCTGAAAGCCGGAAGAAGTAGAAAGAAAACATCTTTTTTATCGCTTGTCATTTAATTTTCCCGAGCCGCCTAATTCAAGTCCTTGCTGCAATCTGGTCGTTGCTATATCTCCTACAATGCCTTAGTCAAATAAATCACTTTGAATTGAAACCTTACGGAATCATTTCCTCTCTGTCTTTACACTAGCTGTCTGTCTAAAGTGAAAAAGCTTTCAAGAGTTTACATCGAAAATTTATTGCTCTTGATGACCGGTGGCAGTTAAACCTCATTACTTATTTTACAAAGGTATCATACAAGGAAAATCAGCGTTTTATTCAAACTGAGTGGGGATAGCTTATAAAATTATGCACACCATCTCCGTAAAAGTATAAATTCTATTAAGGCACAGTAAACACTAATTTCGTATATTTAAAAAGAAGAAGAATGATTTATAACACATTAATAGCAGCATGGACTAAATTGCTAAGGTTTACAGTGTATAGAAGGGGAGATTTTATAAACATAATAACAATATTACCTACATGCTTGCAATAAGAATCCCAGGACTACGACTACAATAAGAATCCTACGACTACGTCTACAAATATAAAATCTTAGAAATTGGTGCAGTTGAATTGCTAAAAAATAACTGCACATTTGTTAATAAAAGTGTCTTACATGGCTTTAAATGGTATGGTCTAGCGTTCCTGAGGTCTTTAGTTGGTCTCTCGTTGAAAGGAATAAGAGGGTGCAGAACATCAAGGGGGTTATTTACAATTTTGTTAAAAAATTTTTTTTACATAGTTCGTCCTTCTTTGCTCTAACGTAACGAGGCCTGAACGTACCAGGGCATCTGGGTAATTCACTTCGTAACCGAAAATTATCCTAAGAGCACGTTTCTGTATTCGTTGAAAACTTTAGGTTAGATATTGTGGAAGACTAAAATGAAAAACCTGGTAGCCATAAAATAACACAAATTGGATGCAAGCAACATAGAACTGAACTAGTTCTTCAGGTGGAACTTTGACACGCCTTTAGTTGCGCTAAAAAAATACAGGCGTTTGGCAGCTTTTTTTGTCATTTCTCTTACGTGAGATTTCCACTTAAGGTCTTCTTGAATATAAACGCCCAATAACTTAACTACTTGTACTGTATGAATTTTACAACCGGCGATTTCCACAAGTTCATATTTTGTCTGAGAGCGTGCACAGGTTATCCTAAGTTCATTACATTTACTGGGTGAAGTTGGAACTTTTTGTTAGCAAACCATGTAGATGCCTCATCGAGGATGGACTGTGCATGACTAGACTCTTTTTTCTCCAGTATCTCGTAGACTGTAATATCGTCCACGTACTTAAAAACGCCGTTCGAAGTATCTGCACTAAGATAGTTGAGCATAACGAGGAACAGCCAGGGGTCCAGTTTGGTACCCTGAGGAACCCCTGCATGAACTGAACGCCATTCGGAAAAGCTGTCATTCCCTAGTTTGACCCTTTGCTGCCTTTTGGAGAAGAAGGCTGCAATCCAATTCATGATGTAAGGATTAATATCATATTGCAACAGCTTGGCCATAAACAGACTGTGATCTATCAAGTCAATTGCCTTCTTATAATCTAGAATAAAGGCCTTTACACAGCACCCAGTTCCATCAAGAGTGCGAGTCCAATTATGGAACATGCCATATAAAGCATGCGTAGTGGAGGAACCCGGGATACATCCAAACTGGTGTGGGCGTAGTCTTTTTAGAACAGCAGGCTTCACATGCTCTTGAACAAGAAGATGTTCCGCGATTTTCGATAAAGTCGGGGTAAGCGAAATAGGTCTAAGATCTTTCTCGATATCTTCTATTTTGTTAATTTTAGCAAGAGGAGTGACATTAGCGCATTTCCAGATTTCAGGCATAGAGCCAGTAATAAAGGGTGTATTTAAAACCGAACAAACTGGCTGAGCAAGTTCAAGAGCACATTCACGTTATGCTCACTTTGGGATGTCATCTGGGCCCCCTGCTTTAGAGGCGAAAACTGTGCTAAGCCATTTAAAACGCTGTTCAAGTGAAATAGTTGGAGCCTCATAACCGGATTTGCCAACGTGATAGTCATCAGGAATGGGCGAAAATGCTTGTTAGGGTTTCACTTGGTAATAAGTAGATTTGCAGCCTTTTCGTTCTCTGTTCACCATATTTCGATAGTAGTTGAAAGTCGTTTGTTGCCGCTGTGATAGGCTGTTTGTCGCTGCGAAGCAAGAGACTTAAGGCTAAGAGAGATCCATAGGGCATCGTTTTGATGAGTTTTGACCCGCTTAGTTGACAAAATAGAATCTAGGCCAATTTGGATCAGTTCACTAAGATAGGAATATTTATCTTGAACAATGTCCATGGTGTCAATTAAGGACCAATCGAGACAAGTTATACATCGACCAAAGGCCATTTTAAGACTCAGAGTTAGAAACCTTTGTACTGGTTACTCTTTTCGAAGGGACATTGGCCTTCACACGGGCCTCAGGACGAAGCCCGACGGTGCAGTGAACGGATAACCC